TCCAGGGCTATATCAACCACCTCGATTACATTTGCAACGAGGCCACCGCCGCGATCGAGGCACGGGACCGCATCATTGTCCTCTCTGACCGGAACATTTCCAAGGACCGGGTTGCTGTTTCGGCTTTGCTTGCCTCCGGCATGGTTCACCACCATCTTGTCGCAAACAAGTGGCGTTCCATGGCTGCGATCGTCGTCGAGACCGCCGAGGCCCGCGAAGTGCACCACATGTGTGTCTTGCTTGGCTACGGTGTGGATGCCATCAATCCCTACTTGGCTATCGAGTGCATCTTGAAGCTCAATCGAGAGAAGCTTATTAAGAAGAAGCTCACCGATGACGCTCTCATCCGTAACTACATACACTCGTGCGACGGCGGTATCCTCAAAGTCATGAGCAAAATGGGTATTTCTACCCTTGCCAGCTACAAGGGCGCGCAGATCTTCGAAGCCCTCGGCGTCGATGACAGCGTTGTCGACCGCTGCTTCCGCGGCACCGCCTCCCGAATCAAGGGCATCACCTTCGAGCTCATCGCTGAGGATGCATTCCGCCTCCACGAGCGCGGTTTCCCTTCTCGCGAGACTGTTGTCGTCCCCGGCCTTGCGGAATCCGGCGAGTACCACTGGCGTGATGGCGGAGAGGCGCACGTCAACGATCCCAAGTCCATTGCCAACATCCAGGATGCGGTCCGCAACAAGAACGACAAGTCGTACGAGGCCTATTCCCTCTCAGAGTACGAGCAAATCAAGTCTTGCACGCTTCGTGGCATGCTGGACTTCAAGTTCGACGACTGCACACCCATCCCGATCGACCAGGTCGAGCCGTGGACCGAGATCGTGCGGCGCTTTTGCACCGGCGCCATGTCGTATGGTTCCATCTCGATGGAGTCCCACTCGACCCTCGCCGTTGCCATGAATCGGCTTGGGGGAAAGTCCAACACCGGCGAAGGTGGCGAGGACGCCGAGCGTTCTGAGCGGATGGCCAACGGCGACACCATGCGCTCGGCCATCAAGCAGGTCGCTTCTGGGCGCTTCGGCGTCACCTCCGCCTACCTGGCCGATTCAGACGAGCTCCAGATCAAGATGGCGCAGGGTGCCAAGCCAGGTGAGGGCGGCGAGCTTCCTGGCCACAAGGTGTCCAAGCCGATCGCGCGGACGCGGCACTCGACCCCTGGCGTTGGTCTGATCTCCCCACCGCCGCACCACGACATTTACTCAATCGAGGATTTGAAGCAGCTCATCTACGACCTCAAGTGCTCGAGTCCTCGATCGCGCGTGTCGGTCAAGCTGGTGTCGGAGACGGGTGTTGGCATCGTCGCGTCGGGGGTCGCCAAGGCAAAGGCGGACCACATCCTCATCTCGGGCCACGACGGCGGCACCGGTGCCTCCCGCTGGACGGGTATCAAGTACGCCGGTCTTCCATGGGAATTGGGCCTTGCCGAGACCCACCAGACGCTCGTGCTGAACGATCTGCGTGGCCGTGTCGTCGTCCAGACGGATGGCCAACTGCGGACGGGCCGCGACGTAGCCATCGCCTGTCTGCTCGGCGCCGAGGAATGGGGCTTCGCTACAGCTCCTTTGATCGCCATGGGCTGTATTATGATGAGGAAATGCCACATGAATACGTGCCCGGTTGGTATTGCAACCCAGGATCCCGAGCTCCGTAAGAAGTTTACCGGCACGCCCGAGCATGTCATCAACTTCTTCTTCTATGTCGCCAACGAGCTCCGGTCTCTTATGGCCAGGCTTGGCTTCAGGACGGTCAACGAGATGATTGGACATGCCGAGGTCCTCAAGATCCGCGACGATATCCGGAGCAAGAAGACAGCCAACATTGACCTGTCGCTCATCCTCACGCCCGCCCATAAGCTACGGCCGGGGGTTGCGACGTTCAACGTCCGCAAGCAGGACCATCGCCTCTATGTCCGCTTGGACAACAAACTCATCTCTGAGGCAGAGTTGACATTGGATAAGGGCCTGCCGTCGCGTATCGAATGCGACATTGTCAACACCGACCGCGCCATGGGTACTTCGCTGTCGTACCAGATCTCCAAACGGTACGGCGAGGGCGGACTTCCGTTGGATACCGTCCATGTTAATATCAAGGGCTCCGCTGGCCAGTCATTTGGTGCCTTCCTGGCTCCCGGTGTCACATTGGAACTCGAGGGCGATGCCAACGATTACGTCGGCAAGGGCTTGTCTGGTGGTCGTCTCATCGTGTACCCCCCGCGGTCGGCGGTATTCAAGGCTGAGGAGAACATCCTGGTTGGCAACGTCTGCTTGTACGGAGCCACATCGGGCACCTGCTACTTCCGCGGCGTTGCTGCGGAGCGGTTCGCTGTGCGCAACTCGGGCGCCATTGCCGTCGTCGAGGGTGTTGGTGACCACGGGTGTGAGTACATGACCGGTGGCCGTGTTGTCATTCTAGGCAGTACCGGCCGCAACTTTGCGGCTGGTATGTCGGGCGGTATCGCCTACGTTCTCGATATCAACAAAGACTTCCGCTCCAAGCTCAACACGGAGATGGTTGAAGCCGGCAGTATTGAGGACCCTGAGGAGATTGCCTACGTCCGTAACCTGATCGAGGACCACCACCACTACACGGGCTCTGAACTCGCTGCTCGTATCCTGGTTGACTTCAACCGTGCTCTCCGCCGGATTGTCAAGGTTCTCCCGGTAGACTACAAGCGCGTCCTTGAGGAAGAGGCAGCCAAGGCGGCCGCGGCCAAGCGTGCTGAGTATAATCTCCCTGTGATCCCCGGCCATAAGAAAGAGGAGCAGGAAAAGGCCGCCAAGCTCCAGGACATTGAGGAAAGCGTGAGGGACGACGCAGCCGACAAGAAGAAGGCGCTCGTCTTGGATAAGACCCGTGGTTTCATGAAGTACCAGCGGAGGTCCGAGAAGTACCGCAGCACGAAGACGCGGACTAAGGATTGGGCCGAGCTATCGCAGCGGCTGGATGAGGACGAGCTCAAGTACCAGTCTGCTCGTTGCATGGACTGCGGTGTCCCCTTCTGCCAGTCGGACTCTGGGTGCCCTATCTCCAACATCATTCCCAAATGGAATGAACTGGTATTCCAAAATCAATGGCGCGACGCCCTGGACCGCCTGTTGATGACCAACAACTTCCCCGAATTCACCGGCCGCGTCTGTCCTGCACCTTGCGAGGGCGCTTGCGTGCTTGGCATCAACGAAGACCCCGTCGGCATCAAGTCGATTGAGTGCGCCATCATTGACCGCGGCTTTGAGAAGGGCTGGATGGTCCCCAATCCACCCAAGGTTCGCACCGGCAAGACCGTTGCCATCATCGGATCGGGTCCGGCCGGTCTCGCTGCCGCTGACCAGCTCAACAAGGCTGGCCACATGGTCACCGTCTACGAGCGCGCCGACCGCGCTGGTGGTCTGCTCATGTACGGTATCCCCAACATGAAGCTCGACAAGCGCATTGTCAAGAGGCGCACCGACTTCATGGCGGCCGAGGGCATTCAGTTCAAGACGGGCGTCACCGTGGGCGAGGACGTCCAGCTGATGGACCTGAAGGCAAACAACGACGCAGTCATCATCGCCACGGGTGCCACGGTGGCGCGCGACCTCCCCATACCGGGCCGCAACCTCGAGGGCATCCATTTTGCCATGGAGTTCCTACACCAGAACACCAAGTCGCTGCTCGACTCGGAGCTTGCCGACGGCGCGTACATCTCGGCGCGGGGCAAGCACGTGGTGGTGATCGGCGGCGGCGACACGGGCAACGACTGCATCGGCACGTCGGTGCGGCACGGCGCGGCGTCGGTTATCAACTTCGAGCTGCTCCCGCAGCCGCCGGCGGAGCGGGCCAACGACAACCCCTGGCCGCAGTGGCCGCGCGTGTACCGCGTCGACTACGGCCACAGCGAGGTGCGCCAGCACATGGGCAAGGACCCGCGCGAGTTCTGCATCATGTCGCAGGACTTTGTCGACGACGGCGCCGGCCGTGTCAAGGGCATCAACACGGTGCGTGTCGAGTGGACCCGCACTCCCGCCGGCGGCTGGGAGATGCACAAGATCGATGGCTCCCAGCAGTTCTTCCCTGCCGATCTTGTCCTGCTGTCGATGGGTTTCCTGGGTCCCGAGGGCAGGGTCCTCGGCGACGAGATCGAGAAGGATGGACGCAAGAATGTCAAGACGCCCGCTGGTGGCTACGCTACCAACGTGGAGGGCATCTTCGCCGCGGGCGATTGCCGCAGGGGACAGTCGCTGATTGTCTGGTGAGTTACCTACTTTCTTGGATTTGAAGCTTGGATATGGCGAATACTGACGGTGACGTTTTTCAGGGGCATCAACGAAGGCCGCCAGGCGGCGCGCGAGGTCGATCTCTACCTCGAGAAGTGCACTAACCTGCCTGTCACGGGTGGCATTGTCAAGCACACTGCCGAGGAGGTGTTTGCTGCTGGGGCGGCGACGACGGTGGCGGCGGTCGAGCCGGTTGCTGCTTGAGGGGCGACTGATGCTTTGAGCTTGAGCGAGCTGGGCACTAGTTATGAAAATAGAGAGAAATGAGGTGAATGAGGTATGAATGTGGGTTTAGTTACGAAGCATGTGTCTTTCCTGGTACTATGGGCATGGCTATATGATGGGCATGGGTTCATGAGCGGGGATCTAGCATAGCTTCTTTTTTCGTCTTTCGCATTTTATGATTCTGATACCATTTTGAGAATGAGCTGTTAACTCTGATAGTGATGACTTCGATTCTTGTGGTTGTGTGTATGCCCATGGCGTGGAAACCATTATGATGCTCCATATGTAACTTGATTGATGGTCGGGGCCTGGAGCCGGCTTGGACTCCAAGCAAAGTCAGAAGGGCAGTTAGCCTGAAGAAATTATTCATTTGCTTGGTTTCTTTCTTTCTTTTTTTTTTTTTTTTTTTTTCAAAAATAAATAAATAAAGAAATAAAGGGTCGAATACCAAGGAGGTGGTCGAACTGGCCTGGCAGGCCCGGTGGGAACAACAGAGAGCTAGTCAACAAAGTACTACTCGACAGAGGGTATTAAACAGGAGGATAGCCGACGAAGACCCCCCAGCCCTCTTATTTACCGACAAAGCTCTGATGAGACACGAAGGTCTTACAAAGGCGCAGAGCTCCCTCCTTTCCCAGGCCCGTATCGGGGATATAGGCCTCCGGGACTACCTGTTCAGGGTGAAAGTCCCGGAGGTCCGCACCCCCTATTGCGAGTGCGGGAGAGGCAGGGAGACGGTGGAGCACTTGGTTGTTTGGTGCCCCGACCCGCCGTTACAAAGGCCGTGGGACGGCAGAGAGATTCGGTCACATAGGGACCTACAAACCGTATTACGGGGAGTAGGTGCCCGGAGCAGAAGATTTGTTAGGAAGGTCCTTGGCTGGCTGATGGACTCTGGCCGGCTACTGGAGTATAGCCTGGCCAGAAGGCTGGAGCTAGAAACAGTGGATGGGGAGGGCTAGAGGGCCCGGAGGCCGGCAAAGGGCCTCCTTTCTTTTGCAGTATGACGGATTCATAGATTGTTGTCTCAAAGTGGTAGACAGAGGTTTTTATCCGGCCTATACGGTACGGTTTCCTTTGTAAATAGCAGTAGAAGGACCGGCGCGCCCCAGGGCATATCGGTGTAGGAAATAATAATAAATAAATAAAAATCATTTATTTGTTGTGCTTGATTTCTTTTCCTTTCTTTTCTTTCATTCGATTTCTCATTTTCCGTTTTTTATACTCGATTTCTCTTCACAATCTCTTCTCAACTTCCTTTCCTCACTCTCTTGTTTTTCCCTCCAGAGTCTAGCCCTTCTGACCAGAGGGTCGGGTGCCCACCACAGCTGAAAGCTTGTTGCTGGTGTGGGCCCTGTTACGGAGCACGTGGGGACATCGATTGGTCAATGGCAGCGGTGTTCTGGCGCCGGTCAAGCTGCTCGATTAGTACCGTTACAGAGGGTGGTACTTCTGTTTAGTGAACTGATTCAGCATGAGGAGGGCACATGCACGAGAGATAACCTCCATATGGCACACGGCTCTTTATCGCAGCTTGCTTCAATGCTGATTCAGCATTGAAACTACACGCTTTTCTTTCATAATAAACCTAAGCTCCCAGAAGAGGTTGTGATTGTGTTGTCGTGTCCGGGTCTCTAGCTGCGGGTTCTGCAGGGTGCTGCAGCAACTGCTGTGGGGCGCTCGGCAGGTCTCCGAGATCCGTGCCATGCCATGTCCATGTGGGGAGGTTGGTGGTGGTAATGACGAGTTACTTCGTAGAATGCTCGTTTGCTCTCTCGTTCAGTTTTCCGCTTTTCTACAACTCGACATTGACAACACCCGGCTCGTCAATTGTACGATTGGGGCGGGTTTTGCACTGGTTTAGGCGGGCATTTTATCTCATCGTTCATCTTTATTTTGAATATTCACACCGCCAGCCAGCCAATCCACGTTTTTAGTCCACACCGACAGCCCTGAGGCTTCGCGACAATGCGCTTCGGCAAGACCCTCCGATTATCAGTCTACCCGCCATGGCAGGACAAATACATCGATTATGGGAAACTCAAGAGCCTTCTGCGCGAGAATGAGCCCGATGATGAGGAGACGCCATGGACCGAAGATGACGAGAACCGCTTTTGCGAAGAGATCTTCAACGTCCAGCTAGACAAAGTCGCCGAGTTCCAGGCAGAACAGGTCGAGAACCTGCGTCGCCGCATTGACAGCGCCTTCGAGAAGCTCAAGGATCTGCCCACGGCCGAGGAGGGCAAGCCGAAGCCGGATACCGACCCGCAGCAACTCAAGGACCTCGAGGCCGAGCTCGACGCTATCACGAACGAGGTCAAGGAGCTGCAGAAGTACAGTAACCTCAACTACACGGGCTTTCTCAAGATTGTTAAGAAGCATGACCGGAAGCGCGGCGACCGCTACAAGATCCGTCCCATGATGATGGTTAGCCTGGCTAAGCGGCCCTTCAACTCGGAGCAAGCCTACTGGCCGCTGCTCAACAAGCTGTCCCTCATGTACTTCGCCATCCGCCAGCAGCTCGAGGAGCCCGGCGCGGGCGATGCCTACCCCATCGACCCCAACAGCCAGCCCGAAACGCATAATGGGGAGAAGTACACGGCGCACAAGTTCTGGGTGCACCCGGACAATCTGCTCGAGGTCAAGACGTACATCCTCCGCCGGCTGCCAGCATTGGTGTACAGCGAGCAGTCCGCCAAGGAGGTAGACGGACAACAGGACCCGACCATCACGTCGGTCTACTTTGACAACCCCAAGTTCGACCTCTACCTGAACAAAGTTGAGCGGAAGACGGAGGCATCGTCCCTGCGCCTGCGCTGGTACGGCCAGCTGAGCTCGCGCCCGGACATCTCCTTCGAACAGAAGATCCTGCACGATAACGGCACCAGCGAGGAGCGCAAGTTCGTAATCAAGGAGAAGTACATCAAAGCTTTCTTGGACGGCGAGTATAAGATGGAGAAGTCGGTGCAGAAGATGGAGAGGAAGGGCCAAAAGGTGGAAGACGTCGAGGCATTCCAATCGACAGCGGATGCTATCCAGGCGTTTGTGCGTGCGAACAAGCTTGAGCCGATGGTAAGGGCCAATTACAAGCGAAACGCCTTCCAGAAGCCGGGCGACGACCGCGTGCGCATATCGATTGACACCGACATTGCCTTCATACGAGAAGACACGCTCGACCGCGATCGGCCATGCCGAGACCCTAAGGAGTGGCACCGCGCCGACATTGATGACAGCAACATGACGTACCCTTTCAAGAATATCAACCAGAGCGAAGTATCGCGCTTCCCTTACGCCGTACTTGAGATCAAGTTGAGGGAAGACAGCCGCGGCAAGCGCCCGGCCTGGATTCAGGACCTGACCGGCTCCCATCTTGTCCACCCCTGCCCGCGCTTCTCCAAGTTCGTCCACGGCACCGCCTCGCTTTTTGAGGACTATGTCAACAGTCTTCCCTTCTGGCTCTCCGACCTCGATACCGATATTCGCAAAGACCCGCAGGTCGCCTTCGAAGCGGAAGAGTCCCGCCGCGCCCAGCGCGCCGAAAACGAACAAGTCGTCGGCAGCTTCCTCGGCACCAAGCTCAGCTCCTACAAACCCACCCGTAGCTCGCCCGTCGCCCGGTCCTACCTCGCCGACCGGCTCGCAGCCGAAACCCCCGCCCAGACTCCTAAATCAGCCCGCTTCTCCCGGGACAGCGCCGCCCAAGCCGACGAAGCCGGTGAGCCGAGCACGCTCAACAACGGCAACCAACCTCAAACCGACGACCAACAGCCACCCGAGTCCCAGCCCGGGCGATCGGGCCTCAACTACGGCACGCTATCCTCCGTCTTTCCGGGCTTCTCGCTCTCCAAGTACTCCCCGCGCCAAGCAGGCCCGCGAGGCGCGCCAGCTTTCAGGGCAGCGCCGCCACCCTCCCCCCGGCGTCGTCGAGCCGACCGAGTGGATCAAGAACGCGATCCCCTGCAGATCGAGCCAGTTCGCTGGCTACGAGGGCACTCTCAGTGCAGCATATCTGTGTGCTGCTCGCGGCTGCGTCAGTTTGTACTCGTCGGCGGCAGCGGCGGGATGCCCTTGCTCAGGTGATGAGTGTGATTTTTGTGAGGGTGGCGGTGTTTGCTGGTGCGTGGAGCTATTGGGTGGTGGTGCGTCGTAGGGATATGATTGTTCAGCGCAGCGGGAAGGACTTTGATTTCTTGCTGTGGCCGCTGGTGGTTAGTGTGGCGTTGGCGGTGGCGTTGTTGGTGAATTTTGTGTTTGCGGTGAGTACTACTCCCTTTTTATCTACGACTTCTTGGTTGTAGAAACGTGTGGCATGCTGACATGGTTCTGTTTGTGATAGTACCGGAAGGCTTTCGCCGACGATGGGTTTGGTGAGAGCGGGACTGGCATGGGCGCGAAGGCGAGTGTGGTTGCTGAGATGGGGGAGTTGCGCTTATGAAGGGGGGTGGTTTGGCGCTATGGTGAATTGGATAGTCTGTAGTATGGCACGGGTGGAGTTGGATATGCTCGTGAGGCTATACCTAGGGGTGTAGGCCACGGGCAGACGGTGTCTCTTTTATCTCAGGGTATCAGTTGTCAGGGGTCGCATGGCTTTCGGTTCATGGTTATACGAGTAGTCCTACACATCAGCATAGCAGAGTGTCATTGTTGGCGATAGTATCACTGATTGTATGAACAGACTTGGTTGCGTTGAGCTTTGGGCTTTCCTTCTATATGGTGTGGTGGATAATGAGACAGGAGGGGGTTGACAGGAGGGGGGTTGGCTTGATATCCTCTCGTGGTTTCCAGACGTGAGGGACGACTTCACCTCCCGAGGACCGAAAAGCTCACCACTCCTAACTCTGTAACTCTATGAGGGCGATCCCACCCTCGACTCCACGCCCTCTCCCTC